AGGTGTCATTCAGTTGGTGGCAGGGTGGCAGGCTGCTGAGTGGTCCCTGTGATGTTGGTATTGCCCTGTTCAAGGCTGTATTGGACACCTTCCCCAGGCAGAAAAGACTGTCCTCTTCCTCTTTGTGGGTGACAAAGGATTCGCCCTCCTGCTCAGATATGTCTGAAGCCAGTTCACATACAGCTTGGGACAGGTCCTTGCTCGCAGCTGCCCCTGCGGTGTCCCCTCTGTCCTTGTCCTGTGCAGGCTGGCTGGGCAGGCAGAGGAGATGGAGGCTGAGTGGAGGTGGCTCACACAGGAGTGCCAGGAGCTGTGGTTCCCCATGGCTCAGCTGACAGAGGAGCTAGAGGAGTGGCAGGATCAGGTAGGGGCTGGGCAGGGATGACAGGGGCTAGGCAGGCCATGTCTGAGGGGAAGTAAACGAGGTGATCAGAGCAGGGGAACAAGGACCACGAGGATAGAGGAAAGCTGTTGTGAGAAATCTCCAGATGTGTTAATATCCCTACCCTGGGAACAGGCTCATGGACTGGCTTTCTAGAGTACACCTTGCTCATGTCAGCCACCCCTAGGGCAAAGCTGGACCAGACCTGTTTCCCAGTACCAGGTTGCCCTTTGCTGGTGGCAGGAAGCAGGAGACGTGTAGTACAGGCAGGGACTGAAGCCCAGCTTGCCTGGGATGTATCTAAGAACAAACCCAGGTGAGCAGCCCTCTCCACCTCCTGCCATTGCGGCCCTTGGTTCTAGGACTCCCTCCCAGAGATTCCCCCCAGCAACGACTGCTCCTCGCTGCTCACCAAGGGAAGCATCCAGCAAGGGGTCCCTGTTTCTCCTGCAGCTCTCGGTGTTCTCCATCTCTGGCTTTGTAGGCTGCCCAGCAAGCACCACTCCCATGGTCCTGCTGCTCTGCTGTGGCCATGTTGGCCCCTGAGGTGGGGGCTGAGGGTGCTTCCTAACCTCTCACCCACAGCACACCCTGGGCCTGTCTCATTGCTGCCACGAAGCTGTAACCAGCTATCGGCCTTCCTGTGTTACAGCTCTTAGAAGCCAAAGCAAGCCTGAGCCTGGCCCAGACTCAGCACGCTCTGCAGTTGCAGCAGGCCAAGGCCCAGATGAACAACATGGTGCCAAAGAAACAGTTTGAGCAGCTGCAAACCAGCTTGAGAGAGGAACAGTGCAAGGCTCAGCAGCTCCAGGAAAATCTCCACCGGCAGGCTGAGCAGATATGCAGGCAGCTGGTCAAGACCCAGGTAAGCAGGGAATTGTGGGAACTCAGTCAAGGGTACCAGGGATGGAGCACTGCTAGCCTGAAAGGCAGCTGTGGTTGAAGCCACAAGAAGTTTGGGTGGAAGATGCTATATATCAAGAGTCCATGTGGAAAATGCACTTGATCTTTAAATTCAGCCACAATTTTCATTCCTCATGAACCCAGTCACCACCCTGCACTCAAACAGGAGCCCTCCCCACTCTAATCCACCTACCCCAGACTAGATACCTTGTGCCTAGAGGAGCAAGAGTTACCCAGGGAGACACTCTGTGTTGACTCACTCTGGGGGAAGAAAGTTTGAGCCCCCTACATGGAGATGTAGTCTGCACAGAGTGGGATGGTTTTATCTCTAGGACAGTGGGCACCAAGGTGTTGGGTTTTTGTGAGTTTGTCCTTTGTTTCAGGACACTGTGATTCAACTGAACTAACCTGCGCAAAGATGGAGCAAATTATAACCAAGGAATTAAAATGAGCAGACACAAACCCAAGGAAACTGTGTCTCTCCCTGGGCTTTTCTGGACACAGTGGAGCAAGGGGAGGCCATTGGCTATTTTTTTTTTATAGAAAACATTGCTGGGAAATCTGTGCCTTGTCTTAAAACCAGTTGGTGCTGACCTAGGGAATGTTGTACTCCTCTAGACACTTGTTCCACTGCTCTTTGCATCCTGCACCACTTCTGCTGATCCCCTCATGCTCTCCTTCAGGGAGTGTGAAGGTCTGTGAGCGGGGCCCTGGGGAAATGCATGGTCCAGGATTGCCAGGGGCCAGGTGAGTGCTGGGACAACCCAACATTAGGCTTTGTTGCCCACTGCAGGAGGAACACGAGCGTCTGCTGCAGGCAGCTGTGGAGCAGGCAGAGGGGCTAGAGCACAATCTGAGGAGTGCCAAAGCTGTGCTGGCAGAGAGGGTGGCTCAGCTCAAAGACGCCCAGGTGAGTGCAAGGGGGGTTAATGCTGCGTGCCCCTGCCTGGCTGGGACTCCTGCATGGGGAGGCTGAACCTTAAGCCTCCTGACCCTGCTGTAGGCCCAACTCTCCAGGAACAAACTGGTGATCGAAGACCTTCGTGAGGAGAACAGGGGGTTTGCAATGGCCCTGCAGGCGGCTGAGCTGAAGCAGAAGAACACTGAGGAGAAGAACCAGCTGTTGGAGGAGCAAGCCTCAGCTCTGAAGCAACTCATCGGAAAAATCACACCTGCATCTCTGAGTGGGTGATGGGGCACCCATTGTGGCAGTCCTGCCCCTGGTCCTGGCCAGGGTTTGTCAGGTGCAGAAGGGGAGGTATGGCTGGGTTGGGAAATCCTTGTCCTGCCTTGTCTTGCCAGGATTTTCCTGGGTAGAAAGTAGAAAACAGAGAAACCAGACAGATTCCTTTAAGGAAATTGGTCCTGTGGATAGCTGAATTTTCCTACTGAAAACACCAGCTTTGGAGCCTTTCTTGGTGGCAGAGTGTGCTGTTGTAAGTCAGGTCTGTCTCAGGGCAGCCATCCCACAGGAGCTGCCTGCACTCTGGCAGCGTGTTTGGTGGTGGTACAGATGTTTCCTCGCTGCGGAGGGTTGCTGTTGGGACCACGCTGTTATGGCTGAAAAGCTAGGGCAGGAGGGCTTGCAGGTTCCTGCATCTGGCTCACTCCAAGCAGGAAAGCTGTGTTGTAGCATTAAAATGTTTGCAATATTATAGCACCTCCTGTCATTTCCAGTCTGCTCTGTATTTCAGTAGCCTCCCCCACCTGTTGCTGAACTTTTATTCCCTCCTCTTGGGCTCTAGGAGACTCTGGCCCTCCTAAAGCCTGAGCCTAGAATCCAAACCAACCTGTTGCCAGATTGTTGCCTCTGTGGTGAGCAGGAGAGAGGGGCTGAGGGAAGAGCCTTCTTTCAGTTTGAGCCTCCAAGGCTCAGGGCAGGGTTGGTGACCCCTACTCAGCACTGCACTTCTTCAAAGGAGACCAGGACACATGGTAAGTGACCTGCATCACCTTGCCTTCCTTCTTGGCCTTCACACACTGGCAGCAAGTACTGCTCTTGCCAAAATAAGTTGTCTAAAAGGCCACAAAATCCAGGATTCACATCAGCAAATGCCCAATTTATTGATCCGCCCAGGGTGTTACCCTCTGCATGGAGGATGCATCGTTGTCACAGTGCCCCTGCCTTGCTCTGTGCAGAGCAGAGGGTATTTACATGGGGGCTGTGGTTGCTACTAGCTGTGAAAGGACTCCTAGGATTTTGGGGGCTATGGAGACTACTGCACAAGAGAGACTAGACTAGCTGGACTGGATCAGGGTAGCAAAGCAGAGGCTGGACAAAGTCCAGCCAAAGAAGAGGGCTTAAAAATAGGTCAGGCTGCTGTTGGTTCAAGAACAAAAGGGGTTAAGTTGGCTGTGAGCTAAAAGTCAGCCATTGCCTTTAAGTCCCAGCCTGCCAGGGCAGAGGGGTTCCCTGGCCCTGGGACAGTGCCAGGAGAGGGCTGGAAGCTGTGACTGAGGCGGCCTCCTTGGTCTAGGCGTGCTTTTTCTGCCCTGGTGGATGACAGCTGAGTCTCCTTTCTTTGCCTTGGGGGCAGCCCTGATTACAAGGGTGATGAGGGAAGCTGGGCTATTACAAGGAGGGAAGCCCCACACAGAGCATGGGCTAGCTCAGGGAGATTCTTTGACTGAGGCTGGGAGAGCAATGCAGTAACACCCTGGGCATTTATCCTGTTCCTGTATTCTTCCCTAAGTATGTGCTTTTTGGCTCCTGTCAAGAGATGGAGGCTAGGCAAACCTCTAGTCTTACCTAGGACTTATGTTTTTGGAAGTGTTACCTCTCAGCCGCTACTCAAGAGTGAGCAGCTCCATTAGGAAAACCAAACAGGGAGAGCAGCTCTTCAGCCTTGCTCTAGTTTTATGCTAACTGGAATCCTTAAAACCCTCTGCTCCCTTTGCTGCTCCTGCTCCAAATAGTCCCTAGGCCCTGCCAGACCAGTGCTCTGGGGAAGGAGACTTCATAGAGAGACAGTGGTGCAGCCCAAGCGTGACAAGAGAAACCTTGGCCAGGCCCATGACCCAGACTGCAGTGCTTAATCATTCAGCATCTTAAGAAACAACATTTGTAGGTCTCTGATGGGAGACAAGGCCTCATGTCTAATCCTAGAAAGAAGCTCATGCAGCCTCAGCTGACACTTGGAGGAACGGCTCCACTGAGACACCTAAATAACCAGTTGAACATCAGCCTGCAGGGTCAAGATGGGTTGGGCCAGAGAACCAGGTCAGAGTGTTTTAACGAACACAACATTAACTCTTGAAAAACGCTAAATTGAAGGCTGAAGCAGTTCTTTATTTTGCAACCGTGGAGCTCTCCTGGCTTCCGGAGCCCAGCGGGTTGGTCTCTTACTCCCACATGCATAGTGTGAACAAAAAACTGCTCCAAACAAAAATGCATTCACAAAACCTGCTTGTAGCTGTGGGGGTTGGGTAACACCCCCTTCCCTGCCGCCCCCGATGCCATCCCCCACTATGCCAGATTCCCAAGATTGCTACATTACCAGCATGCACCCTTTGGTCGTGAAGAGCTGGCCAGTGTGGTTTGCATACTTCATAAACTCAGGGCTGATCTTCATGTCAGGTATCAGAGGCTGCTAAAAGGAGTGGCAGGGTGCCCACCACAGAAATACTGAGGTGTCTGAAGCCCTGCACACACCAGAGTTCAGTCCCCGTTGTGGGCAGGCCACCAAGCGACAGTTGTCCCTCCTGTCCTGCACGCTTATGACAGAATGTGCTCAAGGACTCCTTGTCTGATTAACTGCTCGCATTTCCAGCGGGGTAAGAAGTGCTGCACAGAAACACAAACTTTCCTTGAAACCCAGGCAGACTGGATTTATTGCTGCACACAACCAGCTCTGTTTGTTGTGCCAGCTGCATCGTGGTACTAGATCAGGCAGAGCTGAGCCACAGTCCTGGGCCACAAAGACAGCTTGCAGCATGTGCAAGGAGCCGTGTGTGCAGGAACTGTGACATGCTGCAAAGCTGGGATAAGTGGGGATGTCATGGGAGTGAAAGGGAAGGAAGAGAATGGACCACTCTGTCTTGTCACAGGTACCTGGCTATTCTTCTTCAACAGGACAGTGGTACCATCATCAATCTCAAATTCTCCATAGTCTCTTAAACACCGCACCTGCAAAGCGGAAATGCAGCTCTCAGATCATCAGATCTCCCATAGAATACAATAGATATCACTGCTGACTTACAACACATGCCCCAGAACTCTAAGTATGGTCACATTCCTACCTGCCTGCTGGAGCCTCAATATAAAGCAGACCTGGACCGATTCCCACAGTCTGTGGACTCTACCTGATGTTCTCTTCCTGCCTCTGTCTGGAGCAAGAAGCACCAGTGAGCAGACCAGCCCAGCCCTCTACAGACTAGAGGAAGAGCAGCACAAGAGACAGGGTCTGGGGAACAGCAACAGCATTTCCAGGAGAACCTCCCCACACACATACCAGAAAATGCCAATCTGTGACAGTGAAACTGTCTTAAGGAGCAGGTTGATTGTTACTACATGTTCTTTCAAAAAGAACATCAGAACAGAGCACTTCAGCTACTGACTCTGATTTCTTGCGTGCTCCTGCTTTGTTGTGTCAATTGTGTAAAACCATTTATAGTCTCATCTGTTAATTGAAATGGACTCTGATAAAGTTAACAATCCTTAACATGGGAACAAGGTTTTGAGTTGATCTGACGGTTGGTTAAGTTTCTGCAAGATGCTGCAAAAACTTCTCACTGGAATTCAGACGACTCACCCCACCACACCAGTTCCCTGTGGACTAGAAATGCCATCTTTCAACATACAACTCAGTAGAAGAAGGAGTAAAACACTGGCAAGCAGAGTGTAAAGAGTAAAATGTAGAAGCTTGTGGAAGCTTTGGTGCTCTCAAAGGCTTTGCTCAATGACCTTCTGACTTCAGATGGGAGTGAAATTCTCTAAAAAAAAAAAAGATGGTTGGGCAAAATGTTTGTTCACAGGCAGAAACCACCAATCTTGCACTTACTTCAATGTACAGGCTTTTAGGAGGTTTTATGTCCTGTGTAAGGTCCAGCCCTTCCTCTCCTCCTACTGACCTCATGTAGGTAGCCAGAGACTTTTTGTACCGATTGAACCACTCCACCTGTAGACATTAACAGTGATCCCTCAGGCAAAGCCAAACAGCTAATGCTGAAAGACAGGTCCCTGATGAGTGAGATCGAGTTTATTTGTGCTGTCAGACCACTGTTCCCAAGCATGTTCATGCCAGCCAAAGGTGAATGCAAGCTCTTCTAAGGGGAAAACTGCCCCAGAGGCAGAGCAATCTGGATTCAGGGTGGGACACATGCTGCTCTGTACGTTGGTCTAGAGATGGCATGCGAAGACTTAGTTCTGCTGGCTGCGAGTCTGATCTGATGAAGACCACCTGATCCTTAAAAGTGCCAAGCATCACCTGCACTCTGTATCCATTTGGGATCGTACCCACAGACAAAGAATAAACAAATCACTATTTACAGAAAGGCATGTTGTCATGTTTATAGTGGAGGAAGAGTGGTCTACCCTATTTTCACTCTACTAAATAGATAATCCATCAGGAGGAATAAGGGGAAAGAGGGGAAGAGTTTAAGACAAGGCTGACTCACTTCCTCAGCTGACATGTGGAACTGGATGGTGTTTGGTAGGACACTGCCATATTCCCACCTTAATGCTCGGATCCGCAGCAACCGGTCATACCTGGGGTAAAAAACAAGGGACAAAACCGGCATCTTTGCACAGTCAAGTGCTAGCAATATCCCCTCGCAACACTGACGTCCCAGTCTGCCCTCAAAGAGGAGCAAAAACTTGGGTCATTCCACCCACTTTCCTTTAAAGGATGTGATTTTTGGCCTATCCAGCAATTAAAATTTTTAAAGAGGAAGAGGAGTCTTCTTTTTGTGCTAGCGTTTGGCGGTACCAGCAATGAACACAAAGACAGCCAGCCCCGCAGCTGCCCTGC